TGCTGCGAGGCTGTCGCGCTTCCCCTGCCGCGACACTGTCGCGCTTCCCTGCCGCGAGGCTGTCGCGCTTCCCCTGCCGCGACACTGTCGCGCTTCCCCTGCCGCGAGCTGTCGCGCTTCCCCTGCCGCGACGCCGTCGCGCTTCCCCTGCCGCGACACTGTCGCGCTTCCCCTGCCGCGACCGTCGCGCTTCCCCTGCCGCGACACTGTCGCGCTTCCCCTGCCGCGACACTGTCGCGCTTCCCCTGCCGCGAGGCCGGCGCGCTTCCCCTGCCGCGACACTGTCGCGCTTCCCCTGCCGCGACACTGTCGCGCTTCCCCTGCCGCGAGGCCGTCGCGCTTCCCCTGCCGCGACACTGTCGCGCTTCCCCTGCCGCGACACTGTCGCCCTTCCCCTGCCGCGAGGCCGTCGCGCTTCGTCGGTCAAGTCAAAAATATAGGGTAGGTCAACTCTGGGGTGGGTCAACTTTTTTTGGTAATATTTATATTACTCCTATTTATATTCCCATATTTATATTCTAATATTTATATTAATATTTTTATTGATTAATATATAGGTAGGTCATCTTTGAGGCGGGTCAAGCTACATAGACTCAACCACCCTTCGATATAGCTTGCTCGGCTCTGGACACTCGCCTCGCCGAGTGAGTTGACAAGCCCGCAGCCGCAGGGGTGCCTTTTACGCGTGTCGCAAAGTCCAGCAGCCCCGAGGAGCTCCCGGCCGCGGACCCAATGGCTCTTGCATACGTGTGAGCCAGCGATTAAAAGACCCCCTGTGTGCGAGTGTGTGTGTGTGTGTGTGTGCCCGCATCTCTAACCTGGCCTGGCATTTACTGAAAGCGAAATACGCTCCGTCCTCGTGGGACTCTCTCCCCCTCCCCGCCGCTCTCCCTTTAAACCCTTTCTGCTTTCGGTTGCTTCCTCTCTCTCTCTCTCCCCGCAGGAATTCGTCTCGTTCCCTCCCGTGAGACGCGCCTAGCCCGTCCGAGCTTGTGATGACAGGCGCTGCTTCACGGAAGGCTTCACGGCTGCTCGCTGGTTTTGCGGTGGTGGTGCCCTCGCTGCGCCGTGGCGGCGTCCTTGGGCTTGCCGCGGGCCGCGCCGGGCCGCCCCCAGCGATGTGGCCGAGTGCAGGCGGCGCAGGCCCGACCTGCCACAACGACGTCCTGCCCGAGGTGGTCGAGGCACCGCGTACACCTTCCCACGCTCCCTAAAGGACTCGGAGACTCGCTAGTTTCGGGAACAGCGCGTGCGGCGCGGCATCCTGGGCATCCTGGGCAGGGCACCATCTTCGGGGCGGGGCGGCAGGCACGCTTTGAAAAAGTCTCCCACCGAGTCGCCCAACCCTTATCGGTCTCCGTGCGAGTGTGTGTCGCTGTGGGTTTTGTTTCTTTCGACCGCTGTCCGTCCGCGCTGTCCGTCGGTCCGGCCCCCTCCTCGCGGCGCGCAGAGGCAACTCGCATTTTGAACGGACGTCACCGTCAGCGTCCCCTGCATTCTGATGCGGCGCGGCAGCCACTCCTTGGAAGCCTGCTCCGAGCCCCAGCCAGGTCCATGCCATACCAGCCCGGCCAGGCAAGCCGGCCTTCGCAGTCACTGCAGTCACAGACTTGACGACGCGGATAAAAAAATCAAAAAGAAATCGCCCTCAACTCGTCATAATGTGGAGTGGAATAGAGACGAGACGCACGGCAATTTCTCATCCCACTTTTTCCAGAGTCGCCTGGTGGCCGGCTCGCGGCTCAGTTCGTTATATACGAGGGCGGCGGCTTCTCCGCTTCCCGGTCCCTGGCTCGGGTTCAACTCCCGGCGGTACCGCTGCTCCAAGCCCACGCAGCGCAATATATACACACTTTTGCCTCTCACCCAAGTCTCCTCTTCTTTATTTCGCTGATTTTCGTTGTTGTTTGGCGTTTACATTCGATTGTGGTTCTCGAGCGTGCAAAAAGGTCCAGCAAAGGGTGGCAGCCGCGGCGCCCTGCACTGCAAAGGCTCGACTCGTGCCACCGCCACCGACACCAAGGCGTCTGCCTGCTTGGAGATTCGCCTCCGCTCCGTCCTGCCGCGCCAACCGCGCCGACCGCGCCCACGGCAGCACGATGGGCTGCCTACCTCCACGGCGGACGGAGCGGCCCGCAGCACTCGAAGCGCGACATGCTGGCCATGCTGGCCATGCTGGCCGCCCTCCGCTCACGGCGTGCACACTGCCAACCTGCGTCCCGCTTCCCTCAGGCCGTCGACGTGACGGGGTCGACGCGATCCGGGTTTTCAGATGGCGTCGCCGCCGCCGCGGTACTTGTTGTACACCTCGCGCCAGAAGGGCCCGAACACCCCGAGCAGGTCCCCCTTGTCCATCGTCAGGTTCCTGCCGAAGCGGAGGAACTCGTCGGGCTGGTCCTTCACCATCGGCGTCCACTCCACGGGCAGGATGGTGTCGTCCGTCTCCGGCACTGGTTTGCTGCCAAACAGACAAACATTGACAGACGGAACGAAACACTCGGTTCCCCAAAGGTTGGCGCACTTCTGACCCGACTCACCCGTACTTGACGAAGTTGCTGAAGAGCGTCACCTGCCGGAGGATGTTGAGGGAGAGGGAGTGCGTCGTGTTGAGCGGCAACACGAGCAGCTCGTCCTCCGGCCACAGCACCTTGTCGTCGTGCGCGTGCAGCGCGCCTGCGCAAACGGACTTCACTTTCTCGCCCTTCGGCGGAACGCACTTCACGCAAACTGTTTAGCGGTGCACTCACAATCGCCGTCGATGGGGTAGTCGTAGTAGTACGCGTAGACGGGGGCCTTCTCCTCCCGGGTGTGCATGCGCATGGAGCGCACCAAGTCGTTCTTGATGAGCATGCCCGAAAAGAACTGCAACACGGGGGGCGTTATTCGCAGACAGTCAAGAGGCCGCAGTCAACGCGAGGGGCGTTGGGGCGTTATTCGCAGACAGCCAAGAGGCTGTCGGGCCGCAAGCAGCACTAACTTACATTCTCCCAGCGGCACATGAGGTCGCAGGTGGGGTCGATGGCGGTGACGTTGAACAGCTGCTGCCGGAAGTCGTCGAGCACCTCGTCGAAGGTGTGCGTGTACGTGGCGGGGTCGATGCCGAGGGCCTTCTTGGCGAAGTCCGTGGGGATCACGCTGCGCGGCAGCATCCTCTCCAGCGCGGGGTTGTCGATGGCGGGCAGCTGGCCCAGCACTGCAACAGGACCAGTGTGTCGCTGTGTGTCGCTGGAGGAAGAGGGCGGACAGGATACTGCAGCATCGGGCCAACTCACTGAGGTACATGATGCCGTACGCGTCGTACTCGCAGCTGGTCATGCCCATGATGGTGGGCACCCTGGAGCGCGCGGGCTCCAGGATGTAGGCCTCGGCGTCCTTGAGGATGAGCTTGGGCTCCGCGCCGCCGTCGGGCCGTCTCTCCAGGGCGACGGTGGGCTCCTCGTAGTTGCTGGGGGTGTCCCTGGGCCGATTGTTGGCCGCGAACGTGAAGGCCAGCTCCAGCTCCAGCGTGGAGCGCTCGTGCAGCTGCTGGGCGTCATCGTGGTTCGGGAAGAACTTGGCGAAGAAGGCCATGGCCAGGCTGCTCAGGTCCAGCATCGAGTGGTCCGTGTAGGCCCAGGTGGTCATCGCGCTGCCGCTCTTGATGATGGCGCCGCGGAACAGTCCCTCCGTGTCCGGCAGCAGCGTGAGCCAGTGCACCGAGGCGGCGGCCGACGAGCAGCCCTGCACGGTCACCTTGTCGGGGTCGCCGCCGAACGCCGCGATGTTCCTGTTGACCCAGCGCAGCGCCGCCACCATGTCCTTGAAGCCGGCGTTGCCGGGCGCCAGGTCGCTGTCCAGGCTCAGGAAGCCCATGTGGCCGAGGCGGTAGTTGAACGTCACCACCACGAGGTCCTTGGCGACGAAGTAGTCGGGCCGGATGATGTTGCCCGTGCCCACCTTCATGGTGCCGCCGTGCACGTGCACGATGACGGGCAGCAGGTCGCCTCTCTGTCGGCAAAAGCGAGCGGCGTGTGTTAGCCGAAGTTGGCCTTCTCGACGTCGACCAGAGTAACCGAGGCGCCTACCTCATTCTGGGGCTTCTGCAGCCACGGCGAGTACACGTTGAGGTGCAGGCAGTCCTCGGAGCCGGCCTGCGCGTCCACGGGGCCCTGGATGCAGCGCTGGTCAAAGAGCAGCGCCTCCCGCACGCCCTGCCAGGGCTGCAGCGGCCGCGGCGCCTGCGACCCACCAATCAGCGTCAAGACAGTTTCCGTCAGGAAAGTTGCATTGGCGGGAAACCACACTCCGACGACAAAAACGGGGAGACCGCAGTATGGAACCCGTGCCGCGCCAGTTGTTGACGGCCACCGATCCGCCAGCGCCCTTCCCATATGTGTTGGAGGGATTTTAGCCCGTCAAATGCGGCATGATAACGCGACCACCAGGCGACGGCGGCCAGACCAAGCCGCTAATCCTTTCATCTGCTGGCTGATTCCGAACGGGCTGTCTCTCGCACACCCAAATGGGCCACCCGTCGTCGAGTGCGGGAGAGAGAGACCCCCCGCTGGGAATCATTCTGCTGTCGCATCGCCCCAATTAGAACGGTTGCTGCCTGCGGTCAGCCGCACCGAGAATCAGTCTGGCTTCGAGTTTCAGAGTGAAAACTCGAGCAAGCTAGTTGCTGCACCTTGAACCTCAGCTCCCCGAGCGGCGGCTGCGCGTAGGGCACCCCGACGAAGGCGGCGTACTGGGGGATTCCCTTGAAGGCGTTGGCCGGCCTGCAGAGCCCCAGCAGCTCGCCGGTGTCCACTGTGACTCGCGGCGCGGGGCAGGGGTCCTGGTGGGGCTGAGGGCATGGCGGCGGGGTGGGGCACGACGGTGGCGTGGAGCTGAAAGTGCAATGAGTGGTAATCTACCTTGGTGGTCGACTAAGGCAAAGAAAGAAAGAAAAACAAATCAAAGAATGAGTGAAAAAAAAGAAGCCATATCGGAGGCGAAGGTGGCGCCACAGCGCAAGGGTTGGTTGCGAAAGTGTGACGATTGTATCGTGTCATTCCACAAGTGCAGGTGTCTTCGTCTGATAACACGGTTCTGACGCAAATTTGGGGGGCTAACTAGGATAACGCACGTGCCGGCCCGGCGGCCCGGAGGAGTCGGTATTCTCACTCGCACACACGCTCTCTACCTCTCTCTAGCCGGGACAAGCTTTGACGTAAATTTAATTTGAGAGACACCCACACACAAAAGATAAAAAAAACACGTGTCTGGGCACCTGCTCAGAACTGAACCAAACTGTGTGGGCGCTCCAAAAAATGGGCGCTTTTGAGGGTGAGGGACTGTATGGGGTCTATGAAACTACAGTATTGGCCAAAGACAGATCCCAAATGAGTGGCAACAGACCAGGAAAAAGCGCTCCTTTATGGTTTTAGACTGCTCACCTCGGCGCTGGTATACCCTGCTGCAGGGCAAAGAAGACGCCGGCGCCGACGACGGCCCCGGCCAGCAGGGCGACCACCACTCCGACCGCCACCCCTGCGCGGCCACAGCGGGCATGGCGTTAGCATCCAACAAGTCCTCCTCAAAAAGGTCCGGCGCCCTTGTCCTTACACAACTTCCTCGACGCGCTGGATTGGTGCATGGCGCGGCGCGCTCCGCTCGAGGTTCCGCTCTTGGCCGGCGATGGGGCAGGATTGGCACTGTCCTGCAGCGACACCCGAGTGAGTGCAAGCAGATTACTTTCTAGACCAGCTGCGCTACCGAACTTGACATCGAGATAACACAATCGATGTGGCACGCGAGTGCCCCCTGTCATCCGAGAAGTGTGTTTTCGACTCGAGTGCGAGCACGGGGACAAGAGTACGACGCCGACTTGTCCTGTTTCCTACAGTGGCGGGCGGACCCGCGAAAAAGGACCCCCTCGTGCGTCTCACCCCGGTGCTTGCTTTCGTCGAGTTTTTCATTACATGCTTTTATCTCTAAAGGACCGTCGTCGAAGCGAGCATGCAATAAAGTAGGATTTATCTGGATCTGAATCTGATCTGAACGGTGTTTTACGGATATTGGTACTAATACAGCAACTGATAAAGGTCCAAGGATGATTGGTAAAGTGTAATAATGAGACAATAAATTCCAGGCGTTTAAATTTTATTTAGAAAAAAAAATCGGCTTTTTATTTTAAATACAACGGACCGACAGAGGCATTATCTCCGCCACTTCGGTTATTCCATAATTCGAATTGAGCATATGAGAAATTAATACAGACACAAATCAGCTAAGATAATTTGCAAAACTTTAAACATTTGTAAAAACGGGATTCGATGTAGTAAGCTGCAGTAGAAACATTGAATACTCCTATTTGAAAGAAAACGCTTTCTATAACACACTGAAAGAAGGTTTGAGAAAGCGGTAATGCCGCTACAAAGCGACTGGACGACACTACAACGTCTACCTCAACAATTCTCGTTGCAGAAGCGATCTTCGACTGACTCATCGCTTCGGCCCGAGCAACGGAATTGACACAAAACGTTTTGCAGCAAAACATCGGCAACACTCACTCACTCACACTCGCTCGAGTACAAACATTCATCTCCGCGCACACTGAATTACACCTTTATTTATTTTCGTAACGACATCGGTGCCAACAATACAACGCTGAAAACGAGACAGCGCGTAACATGTGGAGATCCTCTTTGGCACAGGAAATACATTTGTTGTTCGAATGCAGGTGCTGTTCGCGCTCTCGTTCGCACCAAAGTAATTCACAAACAATCCAAGGAAACTTCCGCTGAGCTCCGGAAGCCGGAAACTGGGAACCGGAAGTCCGGAAGTGGAGAAAACCGGAAGTTCGGCGAGGCGCTCACATGCGCACGCGGTCGGCGCGGTCCAGGGGGCACATGAAGCGCGGAGGCTGGACGATGAGGGGGCTGCTCTGCGAGTCGCTCAGGTCCATGGCGTAGTACATGTCGCACTCCAGGAGCGGCGCCGTCTTGGACGTGGGCGAGGGCGTCAGCGGCTCCTTCAGCGAGTCCAGCAGCGGCTTGCCCCGCGTGCTCTTGCTGGCAAACAAAAACAACAACAAAACAGAGATTAGACGCTTGTTGGAGCGAGGCGCGCTGCAGCTCTGACGCTTCCTTACTGCAGCGGCAGGTTGGCCAGCGGGTCCTCCATGTCGACCACGCTGCAGGGCAGGACGAAGCAGCGCTTGTAGGTCTCGTGGACGCGGCAGTGGCACGCCGTCACCTGCAACAGTCCGCAACAGCGAACGGAATCAGCCTCAGCCCGCTGGCGATACTCCGCGCGGCCAGCGCCGCTGCGGCCCGGCGCAGGGGGTATCGCCGCGCGGCGCCGCGCTACCCCCTGCCTCCTGCCGAGCGGGTCGTCGTCGTCGCTCTGCCTCTGTCGCACGCATGGGGCTCTCCGCGAGGGTGCGAGAGGGACAGAGCGACCTGCCCGTAAGGTCCTCGTCGCTCACCGTGACGACGACGATGAGCAGCGCGCAGGCCAGCGTGATGGCGCCCACGTACACCGAGTGCAGGTGCAGGTGCGAGGAGTGCGGCGCGTAGTCCTGGCTGCTGGTGATGGCGGCCATCTGCGCCGCCTCAACGGGGATCTCCTCCAGGACCGCCTCCTCTGCGACGACAAGGTCGACAAGGAGGCCGGGTTAGGGTTAGCGCGCACAGGGACAGGCCAGGCAGGCACCGGGACGGATACAACACTCCCGTTCAAAAACACTCGAGCGGTAAGACAAGCACTGTACTCACCCACTGGGAAATAGCGCGTGTGCGACAAGTGCAGCGAAGCGAGGCGGCAAAACAAAAAGGGTCATTATCACAAGAAGGCCCAGGAGGAGGCAAAGTCGACAAAAGTTCCTGCAAAGTGACACAAGCACGTTCAACGTAGCGGGGCGGTGCGGGCTGTTTGCACATTCTCCCTCGGCGAATTTTAATTTTTCAAACCCCGACTCGAAACTTTCTCCAGAGTGGAGGAATTTGTGACAGCGTTGAGAGCTGTCGTAAATTAATTCTTTCTTCACCAAGCAAAGCGCTACTTTCACGAGCGGGGCTCCGCGGCCCTCGTCAGCAAGCTCCGGTGAGGCAGCTACGTGGAGGTGAAGCCAAGCACCGTGAAGGAGAGCGGAGTCTCGCTGACGCCCCGAGGAGGCTCAAGGCCCCCGGCAAAGTGAACGGGGTTGCTGCACTCCACCAGGACCCCTCCCCAAGGGCCCAAGGTTCCACAGTGTCCTTACAAGGGCGATAGCGGCGCCTACCGTTGCATGTGGGTCCGGTGTAGCCGGGCCGGCAGGCGCAGTAGAAGCCGCCGTCCGAGTTGTAGCACGTGCCCCCGTGGCGGCAAGGGCTGCGGGAGCAGGGCTGCGGCAGGGCAAGGCGCCGTTAAAACTCTCCCTTTTTGGACCGCCAACAACAACAACAACAACATGATGTCGGTGGGTACGTACCCTTGGTGGCGGCGGCGTGGGGGTGCAGTCGGGCAGGGTGGTGCCGGCCGGGCAGCCGCAGGTCACGTTGTTGCCCAGGTCGCGGCAGGTCCGGCCCGGCGGGCACGAGTCGGCGCGGCACAGCGGCACCTGCACACACAGAGGACGCTCAACAACAACAAACAACAACAAACAAACAACAACAACAGCGGCGGCAACAACTAACAGCAACAAAAGAACAACAAAAACAAGTATCTCTGTTCACCCCGCGCATAATAATTCCCGGCGATGTGTCGCCCCGACGGCCGACGGCGGCCTCGGGCTCCCGGCTGGAGCGCGCGAGATAAGCGACCCTCGGCCACGAGGCGGCCGTCAGACTGGAACACGCCGCGGAGGGCCTGCTTGCCCTGCTTGGCGTGCTTGGCGTCCGGGACAGCCAGCCGGGACAGCCAGCCGGGACACGACGCAATCTCGCCAACTTTTCTGACATGATGGTGACATTCATCGCGGGGCGGGGCTCGGCGAGGCGGCGCCGGGCTGCACTCCATACGGTCCCAGCCCCCCGGGCCTCTAATCCGCGCGAGTTACCGCCACCGTCGTCGCGGTGCTGGAGCAGGCTCACCTTGGTCTCGCAGCGCTCGCCCCGGTAGCCGCGGCCGCACTTGCAGGTGAAGCCGTCCACCACGTCCACGCACTCGCCGCCGTTGAGGCAGGGCATGGAGCCGCACATCCGGAACTGCATGTCGCACCGCTTGCCCGCGAAGCCTGCGGAGGCCAGACAGAGGAAGGATGTGCGTTAGCGCCTGCAGGAGGCGGGGTGGGCCGGCCCGCCGCGCCGCGGGGCTGGCTGGGTTGCCTACCCCGGACTGCGCGGGCGGCGCCCGCGGTGAGTTTGATCCCGGCGTCGTCCTGGCGGCTCGGTACTCACCTGGCTGGCAGTAGCAGGCGGCCTCGCCTCCCTTGTTGATGCACACGCCGTACTTGCAGGGCGACGGCGCGCAGGGGCTGGGGGCGTGCTGGGCGTGCTGGCCGGGCTGGCCGGTCTCCTCGGCGGCCTGCTGCACGGCCACCGCCACGGCGGCCACGGCCGCGGCGGCCGCCCCGCGCTCGCACTGCACGCCGCGGAAGTCCTCGGGGCAGGAGCACGCCCACTCGGTGCCGTTGCGGCGGCACGTCCCGCCGTTCTTGCAGGGCTCCGACTCGCAGGGGTCCGTCACCACCTCGCAGCGGGTGCCGGTGAAGCCTGGCCGCCGCCGCAGCCGCAGCAGCAACAACAACAACAATCAGCACGTCCGCGTTAATGGCCTGCAAAAAATTGATTACGCGCCACGCGCCACGGCGGCGTGGGGTGCGGTGCTTCGTACCACGCTGTCTCTCTCGCACTCACGGGGCGTGCCGTAGGGGTGCGAGAGAGACAGCGCGGTCATGTCTCGTCTTTACGGTCCGATTTACAGCCGCGGCCGCGTTCTTTATGACTCGTAGTGTTTTATTGGCGAATTCCAGGCTGGCGCGCTGGCCGCGCTGGCCGCGCCCTGGCCTGCAGCAGTGTAGTGGCGGTGGCTCACCGTAGGGGCACAGGCAGGAGTACTGGTCGTCGTCGCGGCCCTGGCTCACGTCCAGGCAGATGCCCTGGTTGAGGCACGGCGACGGGAAGCAGGCGTCGCGCTCCTCACAGTGCGGGCCCAGGAAGCCCGGGCAGCACTGGCACTCGAAGCCGTCCTGCAACCAAAGCAGAGAAGTAGAGAGGAGACTTCGGGGCACCCTACTTGGAGTGTTCACTCGCAGGCCACGCCCACGGCGGCCCGCGGCCCCGCCAGCGGGCGCCAGCGGGAGGGGCACTTCCGTTGTCACTTCCGGGCCCGTCTTATCAGCCCATGCATCACCCGGAGGCCGCACCGTGCCGCACCCCGTCAAAGCCGCGGCGGGGCCTCGCTAACTAGGTGCCCAGGTGGGCGAGACTGATGAGGGGGAGAAAAAGAGGCTCACAAAAAACTGGAAAGTGAATTTTGCGCTGATGGGTTTCCAGGCATGGGCACGCCGTGGCTTGGCTCGGCTGGCGATCGCCAACAGTGTGCGCCTTGAAACACCAGAGCCGCGCGGGGCTGCTGCGTGGGGCCGACCCCTTGGCGCCAAGGGGTTGGCGCCTCTCCGCGCCACTCCGGCAGCACGTGCGCCGCGCAGCGCCTGGCACGCCCTGGCACGCCCTGGCAGCGCCACCGAAAACAAGGCAAAGGACCCGGGGCGAGGAAAGGCGATCCCTCGGCAGACCCCGCCAGCCACCCCGCCCCGCCCCGCGCGGAGGCTGTTTGCTGTACACACGCACACGAGCGCACCCACAACACGCGGCGCGGACCGCAATTTGACCGCTTCGCTTCCAGGAGACACAGAGCAGCACACGTGCGGGCCGTGGGGACGAGGAACGGGCGCGTGGTCGCCCCGTCTCTCTCGCACCCCCGCGGGACGCCGCAAGCGAGCGAGAGAGACGGGGCGACGAGAGCACTGTTAGAAGCAGCCTGCTGGGACGCACGGCGCGCAGGGCGGCGCAGGGGGTAGCCCGGCCCTTGGCCCGGCCGGCAGGGTGTTCAGGCTGGTCCGGCCGGGGCGGTCCACAACGCGCCCCCAGAGGGCCTCGGCCTCGGCCAAGCCCAGCCAAGCCCGGGGCAGGGCGCGGGCGCTCTCCGTAATTTTTTCGCAGTGCTCCTGGAGTGGGGGCGGCGCGGGGGCGGCGTGTCTATGTGTACTTCGTCTGGTACTTCCGCGGCACGTAGCACGTAGGGCGCCTGGCTGCGCCCGGCGAGGGGATCAAGTTGCAGCATCACGACAAACTTGGCGCAGGCACGACGCGCACCGCCCCAGGTACTGTACGACGCCCACGCACGCGCGCCCGCGCACACCCACACAACACACACACGACAGTGAGTCCTCATTGTGACATGGAGGCAGCCGGCAACCGCCAGGGGAGCTAATTGAGTTGTCCAAGATTCCCTCGTAACCAAAAGTCCCCGCGGAAAAGCAATTAACCGACGGCACCACTGTAAATCGGAATGCTCGCCGAGTGCCAGACAAACAGGCCCGGTGCACACACTGCAAACACGGCCAACGGCGCCACGACACTGCCAAACAGCGACACGCACTCCGCCACTCGTTGCCCTTGTTCGCCAGTTAGTGTGTGAGGCACTGTGAGGCCGTAAGGGGCAGCGTTGTGCGCAGACTGATTCCGAGGGTCGTTTTCGTCGCTGTCTCTCTCGCACTCATGAGGCGCCCCGTATATGTGCGAGACAGAGCGACTCTCGCAATCAGTCGGCTGCCTGGCTGGCTGGGTTCCGGCGGCCGCGCTGCCGCATCGCCACATCGGCGGAACATCACAACACATCAAAGTACAGGGAAAGAAGCGGAGCCGAGCGGAGCGGGGCAAGGACGGCCGGGGCGCCGCGTGGCGCGCGTAGCGGACGGGCGTGGCCTGGCGTGGCCCTGCTGCCCTCCACACACAAAGGGACGCCGCGTGGCCGCGTAGCCGCGCACAGTACAAAGGGCGCCACAGCGCTGTGGCCGTGGCGCCGGGGCCACGCCGACACGCCGCGGGCAGATACTCGATGCCAGTGGCCCAGTGGCACCATGCCACAGCGGGAGCGGCCAGCTCGAGCCAGCGGCATCTCGCCATAATGGGTCGACTAGTGGCCGAGGCCCCGTCACGCCCGCTACACTGTGCACCGCCTTGCCGGGCGAAAGCACCCTGAAAATAGAGAGGGAGAGAGAGGTTGGCCCTCGCCGCGCGTTTTCAATGCAAACGAAAGTGGACAGTATCACTAAGGGTACGCTAGTGTTGACGGGGGTGCGGCGGCGGGGCCGTCATCGTCGTCCCCCCGGCACCGCAGCAGCGCGCCGTGCCGAGCCGGGCCGTGTCCCCAACTCTTTCAAAATGCAAAACAGCGAATCATGAATTCCGGTCGCGCGCCGCCCCGCCGCCCCGTCCGGGGAAGTCCAGGCCGGCGACACGCCGGGCGGCACGGCGGCACGGCGCGGCAGTAGCGGCGGCCGCGTCCCATGGAGCGCACCCACAGAAAGAGGTTTACTGTACAAAGCCCCCGAGTCAGAGTCTCTCTGTGAGCGAGTGTGAGCGTCCGTGTGAGAGAGAGTGAGTGTGTGTGTGTGTTTTGGCAGGGACGTGTCCATTATCCGGCACGCCGGCGACCTGATAAACACGGCCGTGACGCCCTGCGCGTCGTCGCTCTGTCTCTCTCGCACCCTTACGGGACGCCGCAAGGGTGCGAGAGAGACAGAGCGATGGAACTTTGGCCACCACGGCGCACCAACGCTACGCACCATGCCGTCCCTGGAGAAGCACACCCCCTTGGTGGAGCAGTCCTGGTTCTCGCCGCAGTTGTCCGACTTCATGAGCACGTGCAGCTTGATGCAGCGGCCCGGGGCCCAGCGCTCCGACAGGACTGCAACACACACACCAACGCGTCAGTACATGGCGGACAAATGAAAAACATTACAAGACAGGAGCAGCGCTTCGACAACACACACAGACACACACCAGTGCAGGTCCCCCGGGTGAAGCAAAAACAGTAAAAAGAATTCGGGTGCTGCGGCGCGTGCGGCGCGTCAGGTGGATCGAAAGAGGCGCAGCAGAAGCAGGCGAAGGCAAAGGGGCGTCATTGCGTCATCCAGCCATTCCGCGGCAGCGCCGCAATACAGCCCTCCAGTCTGCCATCCAGTGTCGCGGACGTCGCGACGCGTCGCGGAGTTGGGGAATTTCTGACATTCTGACAGCGACCCGCGGCGCGGTGCCGCCGTGCCGCCGTGCCGCCAAGCCGCCATGCCTCCGCGCGCAATAAGGGAGACTGAAAGCGACTCAGGCAGACAAACAGACGGGCAGACAGGCGGACGGGCAGACGGGCAGACGGGCAGACAGGCAGACAAACAGACGGGCAGACAGGCGGACGGACAGACGGGCGGACACGCAGACGATGCTGAGCGAAGCCCGACCGCGGGGCAAACCAAAGTTGAGTGAAAGGGACGGGTGGGGCTGCGGGCTGCGCGTCGTCGCGAGTCGCTGCGTAGGTGACTGTGTGAGCCGCGCGCCCCGCCGCCGCGCCGCCGTGTCTCTCTCGCACTCATGGGGCACCCCGTGTAGGTGCGAGGGAGAGAGAGAGACAGCGCGACGAAACCGACTCTTCGGAACCAGTCTTACAGTTCGCTGACGGCACGGGTAGCACCGCGCGGCAGTCGCAGTGGTGCAGTGGTGCAGCACTACGCCGCGCGTCAAAGCGTGCGTCAAGCCAGTGCGTCCGGAACCGCCGCCGGCAGTGAAGTGGTTGCGTGTTTACCGCCGATACGGAGTCCGCAGCGCGCAGCGCGCAGCCAATAATATTTGTCGCCCCGTTTCTCCCGTGCGCGCGCGCGTGTGTGTGTGTGTGTGTGCTGCTTGTCAGTTATGAACGCCAGAAACGACTCCCAGGTGAGGAACGAAAACAAAAGTTTCGCGCGGCGGCGGTGCGGTGGTGGCGGTGGGGGAAAAATTTGGGTTGGCGATTATTTGCAACGACCGACGAGTGGCGAGTGCCTTGCTTCGCCTCGGCGCGGCGTTGCCGGGCGTTGCCGGGCGTTGCGGAAGGGAAGGCCCGTCGCCACGACGTGCAAAGTTTCCCTCCGCAGGCCACTTCTTTAAAAGAAAAGGGAGAAAGTAGGGGAGGAAAAAAAAAGAAGATGCGCCCATTTCCACCGCAGCCGCCTTCATTCACCTTCACACTTGGACTGCCCCGGCGGCGTCCCCGCGGAGGACTTGGCGTTGGCGCGCTCGGCGCTTCGCGGGCCGTTCCCCCTCCACCCCCCCTTCCCGCCATTTCGCGGCATTCTCTGCCTAACCACATTTACCCAGAAAAAGGCGAACTTTCCCGCGCGGCTAAATGCTCGAGGGAATTACGCGCTGTTTACTGCGGGGTGAGAAATTCAGTGGTTATGAGAAATCGCGGCGGCGGGAGGCAGCAGCCGTGCGGGTAGGCAACCCAACGCACGCGCCGGCGGCCGGGTTGCCGCCGTCTGCCCGCCGGGCGCCCTCCGTGGCCGGAGTTTCGCCACACTATTGGAGATTCAACTCGGGTTTTGACAGCTTGGTGTTCCGTTGCAGGATGTGGTGGTCGTCGCCGTGGTGCCGGCCCGCGACCGGCTGCACCAGGCCGACGTGATCGACCTGGTATCCGACTCGGACTCCGACGAGACGTACTTCGAGGGGGCGGAGGACAGGGGGCCCGCCATCCTGGACGAGGAGTACCACCCCGTCTACCGCCGCGGACACCAGGACGACGACGTCGAAGACCAGTGCCCAGAACGAGACCTACATCCAGGCGGCCAGCAGGAGGACGGCGAGGACGACGGCGAGGACGTGGAGGAGACGGAGAACGGGCAGCGCTGGCACGTCAACGACCTGTTCCCCGACACGGAGGACGAGGATGGCCAGGACGACGACCACGATGACGACCACGACGACGACGGCTACGAGTCCGCGTCCCAGAGCGACGCGCGCGACGCGGCGCCCAGCCGACCCCGACTACGGATTATATTTTATTGAATTTATATTTTACCAACGCGTCGGGTGGGCGCTCGTTCAGGACAGCAGCAGTCCCAGGGTCTAGTCAGAAGGTACGCACTGTATTGTTTTAAGAAGGAGGCACAATAAAACCAATTTGTGAAAAGCCAGGCGCTGTTCCGTCCATTTTGTCCGCCGTTTGCCATTGTGACTCCACTTCCGGGCGACCCCGCCCTTCCCCTTCCCTTTCGCTTTGTGAGGTGGACAATGGCTGCAGTGCAGTGCCCGGCACTGCCAGATTCGGACGCAATCGGACCAGCTAATTACTGTAACGATCTCTCGATAAAACTGCAGTTAGGATGGACGGGGGTGGGGGGTGGGGTGGGGGGCGGGGTGCACTGCCCCTCGGAAGGTGCTCGCCTCGGCCCTCGGCAAGGCAAGACGGCCGCTGTGCTGGCGCTGCCGCCGGCGCTTCGAAGGACTCATTAAAGTTCCGAAACGACCCTCGCCTCCACGGAGATGCAGGGAAAACTACTTGGAGGTGCGCATCAATCATACAGTGGGCCACCCGGCCGGGCCGACCCGAAAGAGGAGAAAAGGGCGCCGAAAACCGCCAAGCAAATCAAGAGGCAAAAGGCTTTCCAGGGGATGAGGAAAAACGGGGCGGGGGTCCTCGAAACAGGGTGTGGGCTGTTTTCCTTTTTGCTGTCGGAGAGCGGGCCTGACACTCTTGGCGCTTGAAGCTTGGGCTTGACGCTTTGGAGTCGACGACGACGTGGACGTGGGTCTCTGCTTCTCTTCGCGGCCGCTTTGGCTGCTTTGGCCGCTTTGGCCGCTTTGGCCGCTTTGCCAGGCGTCGCGTCGCCGCGACTTTACGGTGGGGCTCCGCGACTATCCATCATTTGGAGCACGGCGGGGCGGTGGACCGCGACACGCTGGGACCTACACTCGAAAAAAAAGCAACAACAACAACAACACAAGCGAAAAAAAGCTCTTTTGCAGTAACTGTACGTATTTAGTCGAGGCGAGAATACTCATTTTCGCACCCAATTCCCTCCTGTGCGTGTGTAAAAATTAATCAGATTTCCGAGTCTGAAAAAAATAACCCACAAAAAAAGCAACAACAACAACATAAAGTTGCGCGGATAAAAATTTGCGAGAATGGAAAAGGCCGTGATCCGAGTAACGACCCTTTTAATGAACAGCCTCGCCTCGCCTCGCCTCCGCCCGTTGTCATCACCGTCCGCTCCCTTTGTGTCGATATCTCCGATGGCGGGAAAGAGGAGGAGGGGGAGGGGGCGAACAAGGAGAAGAATGATGAAAAGAGGATAGGAGTAAAGGGTGTGATGAAAGAGGGGCCGGGATGACGAGCCGGCAGTCAATTAGAGCGCTGTCGGGGGCGAATTATGGAAAGCGGCCGGGGAGGGGAGAGGGAGGGGGAAAGGGGGAGGGGAGGGGGGTCCTTGAGGGGATCGAGGAACAGTGGGGGCTGTGGAACGACTGGCCTGGAATTGTTGGCGATTGAATCCTGACCAGACTGCCCCCTCCCCTCCCCCCGCTGGCGCGCCGCGACCGCCGCGACTGTTGTCGTCCGGGGCTGAGGGACGAGGGCTGTATACTCACTGACGAGGAAGTTGTCGCCGTCCGAGAGGTCCTTGTCGTAGAGCGCGAGCAGCAGCTTGCCGTCCACGAGGAGCGGCGTGATGTCCAGCAGCAGCCCCTGGCCCACGTCGCAGGCCGCCATCTCGGCGCGCGACACGCCGTACACGGCCTCCTGGGGGTGCAGCGCGCTGCAACAACAAGCAGGGCGAGTTGCTGAGAGGGTCCACCTGCTGCGAGGCGGCCGGCTAGGCCGGCTAGGCGCCGCCGCGCTGCCGGCGTCTGATTGGCAACACCCTGTACGTGCTGAGGGCCGGGCGACGGGGCCCAAACTTACTTAGGCCCTAATCCCCCTCTAGCCCCTCGAGCCGACCGGGCCGGGCCGTGCCGAGCCGAGCCAACTCCTTCGCTGGGCCGGGGAGATAGCGGGCCAGTGTGCCGGCGGCAGGGCGGCGCGGCGCGGCGACAAAGAACACGGGGTCGACGAGTGTCTCGCGTAATCTTCTTAGCACGCAAATAGGCAACGCTTAAACTTGGCGCCGGCGCCAGCCAGGCAGCAGGCAAGGCAACACGCCGCCTCGGTTAGTGAATCAGATGCAAAAGACAAACTGTTACAAAGCCCCGCCGCCATGGCGCGCCACCGCCCGAGTCGGCTCGGCATTTGGTGTGCTGGAAGGAGTACGCCCCGCCCCGCCCCGCCCCGCCCCGCCCCGCCCCGCACAGTCGTCAGCAGTTTCTCCTGCGAAAGGGGCTGCTGCGCGCCCCGCACATCGCCCACGGCGAGCCCACAGCCACCTAGCCTCGCGCCGAGTAAGGGCCTGGAGTCCAAGAGGCTGAGGGTTTTCGCCGCTCCTCCGCTGCAGCCATCGTCATCGCCGTAGTGTCCGCACACATACCTCAACGGGCGGCGTGCAGCCTGCAGCCCCCGTGCAGGCCGGCCCGTATTTGCATGCCTTGATTGTATTTCCTTGTTTGCCGTCGGGAAACGGGGAAAATGGGGAAAATGGGGCGCGGCCCGAGCCAAATAAAAAGCGCGCGTTTTTCAGAATAAACAGAACTACGGCGCCAAACAGTGGCGCGCCGAGCGGCGAGCGCGCCAAAAGTGCGAGAGTGCGGCGAGGAGCGGGCGGGCCGCCCGGAAAAAGCAGCGCCTGCACTTTTTGGCGCCTAATTCGGCTGAATGTTGCATTAAATTTGGCGCCGCAGCCGGACGGGAATTGTAATTGTCACCAGCCCTAAATAACTCATCCGCTCCGCGCAAACCGCTGCGGATGGGAGAGAAAAAAAGGGAAAAAACTGCGCTTCCAGCCTCATGCATTTATTCCTTGGCGGTACAAAAGGGAAATGAAATCTCCATTCTGAACGGACCGCCATCCGCGGCCGCCATTCAAAAAAAGAAGGGGGGATTGCTGCCGGTTAAACTAAACAGTGGGGCATCGGAGAAAAACGCGCAGCACAAAAAGAAGGCCGAGGATTTCCACTATCAGTATGGAGATGAATTCAGTGGGGACCGGCAGCACCGGCAGCACCAGGTACGGCGGGCCGTCGCGTCGGCAGGCCGTCGGCGGGCCTGCGGAATCCGGGCGGCGCCTTACTGGCTCAAAGCGAGATGTGCCCCCCATCCCGAACAGCCGCGCGCCCGGACGCGCCGCCCCGGCGGGCGGGCAGGCCCGGCCAGGCGATTCAATATTCATGTCACACTGATAGCAGCGATAGCAGCGCCAAACCTTTCTCTTCCTGCGATCGCTGAGGAGAGACAGAGAGAGAGAAGGAGAGACTCACCTCGTCGACCGGGGAGGAGAGACAAGGACAGACTTACCTGGCGGTGGGGCTGGCGGGCGGCGCGGCCTCGGCCTCCAGGGGCTTCACGTCGATGCGGACCAGCATGACGTCACCGCTCTGCATGGAGACGGAGGACTCCCAGCCCAGCGCGGCGGGTGGGCAGTCCGGCCCCACGCAGTCCAGGGGCACCTGCCGGACAGAGACAAAGGCCGGGTCAGACAAAGCAACGAAAGGCAGGCCGGGTCTCTCTCGCACTCATGGGGCCTCCCGTGTGGGTGCGAGAGAGACAGAGCGACAGACAGTCCGCGGGGGAGGTCCTGGACCAGGTCCTGGAGGACCCTCCTTGACCGGACGGCGTAGAATTAACGCCCCTCCTCCTGCCTCAGGACTCCGCGCGAACAATGCCGCTAATCCCTGGCGGGATCGCCGTGTCAGCGCAACGATTGGGCGGGGCGGGGCGGGCCGGGCTGCGGCCCTCAGCAACCGAAACTACACGCTCGCACAGCTCGCGTGGCAATATCGGCCGCGCTCGACATTTCCGCCACGTCCCACGGTGCCCCGCGCCTCCCCCGTCCCCCAACCCCAAACGCATTCGCACCCGCAAAACAAGCAATTTTTCGCCAAACCAGGCGCAGTCGAGGCATTCCGGAGGCAGGGCGTGAGCGAGACAGAGAACGAAATAGGACCAGGACGTGGCGGGAGGGCTTTGAACAAAGCTAGATTTGACGCAATCGCGATCATAATGCTTGGCCAGAGTCAGAGAATTTCGCATCTTGCAGAATGTAATCGCCGCTGAAATAGAACCACCCCGTTCCCCCGGAGACACGCGCATACGTACTGCGCTGGCTTCGCGGCCGCGCCATGCCTCGCGCCGTGCCTCGCGGAGGCGCGGCTCTGCGCAGCGCTCGCCTCTCTCGGCTCAGGATAATGGCTCTCCAGATGAAATATTCCTGCGAATGTGATTACATTTTTCCGCCAGTGTTTCGCGCCGCGCCCCGAGGAACACGCGTTGCGCGGCGCCGTACGTGTCCGCGCGCACAGCAGCGCCGCGAGCAGCACAAGCAGACCGCCAGGGACGAGGGCGGGCGACGGGCAGCGTGATGCACGGTGACGCAGCGCGGCGATAGGCCGGCGGAGCTCGGCGGAGCGCGGCCACGCATTCCGGGACACATTCGCGCGGCGTGGCGCCGCATCGCGGTGCCCACAATGGACGCCCGCAGTGTCCACAGACTCCACAGGCCGGACCGGGCCGGCCGACCGCGCGCGTGGGTATGCATGGGTACGCGTGTGTGGGCGTGCAGGTAGCGGGGCAGGGGGTGGGGCGGAGCGGACTGGAAGCGCGCCGCGTGTTTCACATAAATAATACATCGTCCCCCATTCTGCAGGGGTATTCAATTGCCATCGGTTACCCCCGGCCGGCAGCCCCACCCCCACACTCTCTCTCCCTCACACTCGCTCTCGCACACTCACACACTGACGTGCGCGGCGATATGGGAGCGCGCTGCCCACCCCCGGTCACCCCGGCACGCCCAGGCACGCCCCCGCCGTCCGGCTCAGTGAGAAAATTTTCCCCTACATTTACTCGTGGCGTGGATGGGCGCGTCCGGATTTATGCCCCGCCACCGGAAAGGACCCTCCGCGTCGCTCTGTCTCTCTCGCCCCTGGACGGGGTACCCCGTGAGTGCGAGGGAGACAGGGCATCGAAAACGGGATCGGTCTGCTGGACATGTGTGCCGTTATCCAGGCAATCGGCGGCCCCGCGACCCGCGGCCTGGATCAACCTCCCGGCGGGGGTTCGGGTGGGGTGGGGGGCGAGGCTCCGGCTGGGAAAGGCACGTCGGCGTCGGCACTTTGCCGCGTCGGACTGCACTTGAGATTCTGGCGCCGCCCTGCAGAGCGAACGCGGATACAATCGAGGGCGGCCAGGGCAGCACGGCCACGCCGGCCACGCCCCGGCACGACGACAAGGTCCTCGTCAAAGCGGCACCGCCGCCCTGCAGCCTGCAGCGACCTACAACCGCCACTGCGGCTGTCTGTACCTGCAGCCACTGCTACAGCCACCCTGCAGCCACCCTGCAGCTACCCCTGCATCGGCTCGGCGCGGCCGGCGGGTCGTCACGTCGGCGACCCCGTTGTCGGCGCGAAATTACGCTTCGGCGCCAGAGTGCCAGCCCCAGCGCCGGGCGTCCTTGGCCGTGCCGCCGTGCCCCGGCAGTCCGCCGCCCCGTCGGCCCCGTCTAGACAACGGCGCACTGCCGGCCGAGCCGACTCGGTGCCGCCGGTCGAAAGGCAGCGCCGGCCTGCGCCAATGACGACACAGCACCCGGCCGCCTCATTCCGAGGGCACAGTGGGCCAGAAGACCGGTGGAGGCGGCCAAAACTCAAGACGCGTTTTGAGCTCCAGAGTCACTGAACAGGACTCGAACCGAACGTGTGACCCCACAAATGGATTGCTCTCCGAACGAGGAATTCAATGGTGGGGTCACACGTTCGGTTCGAGGCCTGTTTAGCGACTCTGGAGCTCAAAACGCGTCTAGAGTTTTGGCCGCCTCCACCGGTCTTCTGGCCCACTGTGGAGGGGTCGTTTCGTCGCTCTGTCTCTCTCGCACCCTGCGGAACGCCCCACGAGTGCGACAGAGGCAGGGCGATGAAACAACTACTTCATTCGGCGGCGGCCACGCCCTTCAGCCCTCCGGCCTCCGGTAGGCACTCAATGGCCGTGGCTGCCGTGGAGGCAAATCCCTGCCGCGCCGTGTCGAGCCGCGCCGTTCTGCCGAGGGCGTCATTAATTTAGCGCGGAGGAATCGTTTGGCACGGCGGCCTCGGCCTCGCCCGCCCTATGCTGGCCCGACCGACCGACCCTCGCTCTCTCTCTCTCTCTCTCTCTCTCTCTCTCTCTCTCTCTCTCTCTCTCTCTCTCTCTCTCTCTCCCACTCCCCTGCGACATTCGGGCCTAAAGACCCCGGCCTCCGGCGAGCAGCCCCAACAGGGCCTCTCCCCGGCCTCCCCAAAGTGGTCATTGTACCTTATTACCCCCGCTTGCTGATACACGGGGGATTTGTTTGTGCATCGCGCGTGAAATTAACCGCGCCGTGCCCGGTGCCCGCGCCCCGCCGCCTTCCACTACACTAGGATAGAAAGTCTTTGCTTTGTTTGCGGGTCAGGGTCCAGGCCCCCGCCCCGCCTCGGGTCCAGACTGTCGCGGTGCGCTCTAATTCGGCCTGAGCCCCACGCTGACCACAACCGCAGCGGGCCAGCAACGGCCAGCGACGGCCAGGAAGGCGAGCCGCTTTTATGGCCGCTTGATCCGGGTGCAGGCAAAGAAGAGCCCCGGCCAGGCGCGCCGGCCTCGCCAGCCCCGCCAGCGCCAGCAGCCACACTGGGAAAAAGGGGGTGGCATGTTCTCTGTCCGCTCGCTTGCCAGTCTGCGGTCTGGTGTCTGCCAGCGCAGTCAGGTTCCGAAGAAGACGCGTGAAAGGTTTCCGACGGCGACAACCCGTCGTCGGGGACCCCGTGAAAATGACACAACAACATCCCCGCGACCTTTGGTTTGACTTGGAACCTGGCCGCCAAACGTTAAACGATCAAACGATAGGGAAAGCCTGGCACAAAGAGGGCAATCCAGGGAGTCCTCGGCGCGCCGCCCGCCTCGCCTTGGAACGCCTTGAATGAGATGGATGGGGCACTTGGCGCGCCTCGCCCACACGGCGCGACTCCAGGGCGGAGCCATGGCGGAGCGCTCCTTGGCGTGGTACGGGCCGGGCCGGGCCGGGCCCCCACTGTGCACTCAAGAAACTGTTAGAGAGTACGTCCTCCGACTGCCAAAGGGGCCTCTCGCCCGCTCTCGCCCGCTCTCGCCTCTCGCGGATCGAGCAGCCTCTCCACTGGGGCGTTCCTCTGCCGCCTCTCCACCGCGCGCAATTATTCACCGGGCTGCAGTTAACAGCCATTACTGGGTTTGTTTCGCAGAGCGTGGACCGCGTCGGGGCGGCGGAGACAGAGGGACAGTCAGACGGGCGCCAGACAGAGAGAACAAAACGCGAGAACGCAGTGCACTCGCTCGCAAGGCCGAGTGGAGTGGACAAACTCTTCTCGCAGTCTTCATCCGCCTGGGAGTCTGGCTGGAAAGAGAGCCAACTTGCCTCGGCTCGGCTCGGCAGCCTAGGCCGGGCAGGGCAGCCTCACCGCGCCTGCACTGGATGACGGACTACGGACTCTTCCAAACTACTTGTGCAACTCGGAAAGCTTTCCCCTGCAATTCTCGCGCTCCGCCCCGCCGCGCCGCCGCGCCGCTGTCCCGCCTCTGCACGGAGCCAATGCTTCCCTCGGACAACAAAAGAGACTAATGCGCTTGCAACATTGTCGGGGCGGCCAGGCTCCACTTTACGGCCCCCGCGCTGCGACGCGACTCGAGCCGTCCGAGGGAAAGCGCGGGAAAGAGCGGAAATCCAAGAAATCGCGGAAAAGCGCGGAAAGTGTCCTAACCGCGGCAGTTACGGCGTCGCTGTCCTGGCCAGGAAAGCCCGGCGGCGCCTCCAGGAGCGTCCAGAACCTCCCCTAGCGGGCTGGCGCCTTCATGGCCTTCACGGCGTGCACGGCGAGGCGCGGGCAACCGTCAGCCGGGCATGAACAGGGAACAGGGCAAGGTTTTGTTAAGGAGGCGGAACGGACAGTGACAAATCTGCGGAGGGCGGCGCGGTGGAGTGAGCGGCGGGGAGGGTGGCGGGGAGGAGCGGTGGGGTGGCCGACGAAGCACGACGCCGCCCTGCAGAATTGCATCAGTCCCTCGCCGGCCAGGAGGAATTACTGCCTTGCCTTGGGCTCTCGAACCTGGGCCCCTCGAACCTGGGCCTCTCGAACTTGGGCCTCTCGAACTTGGGCCTCTTGAACCTGGGCCTCTCGAACCTGGGCCTCTCGAACCTGTGCCTCTCGAACCTCGGCCCCTCGAACCCGGGCCTCTCGAACCTGGGCCTCTCGAACCCGGGCCTCTCGAACCTGTGCCTCTCGAACGCGGGACTCGGAGCACGGCGAAGTCAGTCAAAATGGAGACGAGTGTCTAAACATTGTGTTTTGGGCTGACTTTCGGCGACCGCTGCGTCCAAACGCTTGCTGGCAATCATACTCCTTACGCGCCAGAGTAGTCTTAAGACCTTCCTCTTTGACGCCCTGCCTCGGGTGTGCGATTGCAA